CATCCTCTGCCAGAGCATGGCAGGTTGGGGTGAGGGACACAGACAGTAAGACTGCACTTTCGGGCTGTCGACACCTTCTCCTTTCTCCCCCTTTGCTCTTTCGCTGGAGTTCAGGAGCAACAGAGCAGGGGTTACTCCAGTTGTCAGTGGGAGGATATGACCTCTGGCGGGTCCCTCCCAGCCCATGCCTCATGGGAAGCTTTCAAATTCCCCTTCCTCCTGCAGGGAGAGACACCTCAGCTACATGGCCCATCTTCAGAAACCACAGACTGGAGGTGTGCATTTCCACAAAACTTGGCTCTCAGTGATTTCTATGAAGTGAGAGTGACTGCTTGGATGCCCAGTGGTGACAGGCCAGGGAACCCTGAGTCCACCACGAATCCCAAGTGCCAGGCCTAGAGAGCTGCTCCTCCTGTTAGTGGACAAGTTTCAGATTTCGCATTTGTGTCGCACCATTGCCAGAGTGGCAGTTAAGAGAGTTGGTCTGGGCAGCAGCTCCAACCAGCATTTAAAGGATAAACTCCCTGTTCTTACCCAGGTCTTCATGTACAAGGTCTCAGGGTGCCGGGGATAGAAAGCTAGCCCAGTCCTGTGTGTGAATAGAAGGCTGTGGGTTAATTTGTCTTGTGTGGCTTCTGAATACAGAGGTGAATATGCTTTATACATTGGCAGTACTAGGAAGAGAGTACAAGAGTACAAGGATGAGCAACTATTAAAGTATTTTTCCTCCTGATTTAGTGGTATCTTATTCTATCTATTGAATATGGACGCACCCAAAGAAACATTTTTTATTAAAATGTCTCGCCTTCTCAATATAAGCTGCCAGTTCACTCACTAAAGAATGGATTGTTTGCCACTTAAGAATGGCAGAGAAAAAGTGCTATTTTCTCGCATCAGGTTTTGTCCATTTTGGAGCCTAAGACGAATTGAGAAAAGTACAATTAAAGCACTCAAATTGCCAACATTGGTAAATATATACACTTTGTAAGAATAACACAGAAATCTTCTGCCAAGCTCCTCCACGGACAGGGCTCTGTTGGGCATGAGTTCAAATGAAATCCAAGCATCTTCGCTCCTTGTTTAGCTCAGGTGCAGCTACCAGGAAAGCAAAGTGGCATTTAAGGTATAAATAAGTCTATTCCTGAGGAGAACATGTGCTACTCACACTTAATGGTGGAAGAGACAATCTCACCACACACCAAGGCTCTCCTTGCAGGTGGAGCAGGCAAGCCCTGGGTAGGACTAGAATGTAGGGCTCACAGGCTCTCTGCCCTAAATGCATGACACCCCTTTGTGCCGGAGCCTGGGTTTTTCAGCAAAACTCAGTTCAGGACAGGGAACCCTGGGTCCACCACGAATCCTAAGCAGTCTACTAAAACTCTTGAAATGGCCACTCAGCTGCTTTAATCATTAATTTACCAGAGAAACAACAGGATAACAGATACTCTTGCTTGGGTGAGCTAACAACAATAGCCCTGGCAGGTGGGGTGCCTTCTATTCATGCAAACTAAGAATAGAAGAGACTCCCCTAAACTGATAAAGCTTATGAAGCCAATTATCAACGTACTGCCTCCCCACTCTAAATTCACCCTTCAATATATGCTCTCTGATAATGGACGAATTCCTTTAAGCATCTCTCCTTCAAAGCGAGCATGATGTTATGCTTTCCCAGTAGAAGCCGCTGAAGGGACACTGAAGGAGGAAGTGGCTCTCCTGCGGTTTCTGGTTCTGAGAGGTGTGAGTGTGAGAATATCCTGGGTGCTCTGCCCCAGGCATGAGCCCAGAACAACTGGTCTCAGCGACCGAGCAATACTGGTGTGGCCTGGTGATCAGCTTTCTGTGGCCCTCTTCATAGGGACATCTTATGCTCCAAACTACCTGTGCACTGATTCCCTCCGCTTGCTTTCTCTCCCACCACAGCTCACCAAGAACAGGTTTATGTCTTGTAATTCTCCCAACACTGCAGCCCTCCCAACACCAAGGCCCTCCTGATCCTATGTACAGGGCATTGTTAGCTCCAGGCCTCCAACTCCACCAGGACCCCATTTCCTACTACATGCCCACACACTGGCCACCAGCTGTGGCTTGTCCACACTGATGTGCTCCAGAGGGTTGCTTCCTGCTTACCCTGCAACTGTAGACCAGCTCTGGTTCTGTAGACCAGGTCTGGCCCCAGCAAACCAGCAAACTTCTCTACCATCCAGTAAGTTCTCCTATACCTTCTCCAATGAAGTGTGAACTCCAGCCTTGGGGAAGAGCCCCCATTCCAAGTTTGTCTTCCCTTGGGTACTCTCCCTCAGCCCCAAGATACCATATAGAGTTTTCTTATTTCCTGTATTTTATACATTTGTCACAGCTTAATAATTCTTTATGTTAAACTTCCTCTGTCCACTGTGTACTTTCTATCAACTGATTGGATCCAGATTGCTACAGAACGCAACATCTAGAGCAAATATCCTTCTCAGGATTACTGAAAGCTTTCTCTTTGAGAGCTGCATCAAGTAAAGATGTCCACTATCACCCAGAGAGAGCAATAAGGGAAAGATGGGAACAAAATGCTTGGAAAGGAAGACATAATCCTGGCATTATTTGCAGATGATATGATTGTGTACATTAAATTCTATAGGTATTTACAGACAAATTGTTAGAACCAATAAAAGAGTTCAGACGTTTGTAAATCAACACATGAACACCAATTGCATTCTATTTACGATCAACAAATCTAGAAAGTAAAAATTTCAAAGCTAGTATTTGCAAAATATGAAGTACCTAAGATAGGGCTAATCTTCCTCAAAAAAAACACAAAGAAAAGTACCTAGGATAAAATGCCCTCTTATGGGAAAAATATAAAATATTATTAGAACACATTTAAAAAGTCCTTATTAAAAGGAGAGATACACCATATCCATGAATCAAACATTCAATATTGAAAAGAAGTCAAATTTAAAAGGTCAACACAATCCTAATAGAGCCCCAAACAAGGTTTTGGTTGAACTCTTTCTAATGAATTGATAATTTAAATGGACTTGAAACAGGCCGAAAGTAACCAAGACACTTTTGCAGAGCAAGGTAGAATTGACTGATCTTATCCAATATCAGGATTGACCATAGATCTGTAGTAATTAATATTGATATGTGATATTTCAAAAAGACAGATACATAGTGCCATGGTACTTAATAGAGAGTATAAAAACTAGACCATGCATAGGTAGATACTTGATTTATGGCACATGTGGCACTACAAATCGGGTGGCAAAGGGCATACCTTTCAATAAGTGGTCCACTGAGACAATCTGATATACACATGAAAAAAAAAAATGGAACCCTCCTCAACACCGTAAACAGACATCACTTGCAGGTGGATTAAGACCTAACTGTGAAAGGCAAAGCCATAAATATTTTAGAGGACAATATAGAGAATATTTTCATGGCCACAGGGCAGGGACAGATTTCTTAAAACAGAAAAGCACTAACCGTAGGAAAAGAATGATAACTTTGACTATATTATAATTAAGATCTTCTGTTCACAAAGCACAGCATACATAAGCAGAGTGAGTATTTTGCCACAGGAACAACAGAGCAAGGAAATATTTTGGCCACACATGTAACCACCAAAAGTCTGGTATCTAAAACACATAAAGAACTCATTAAATCAGTAACTGCAATACGGAAAACAGAATAGAAAGATGGGTGAAAGAGTTGAACTTGAACAGCCCTTTCACAGAAGAGAAAATCCAAAAGGCTCATAAACATGAGAACGTGCAAAACCTTAATAGTGATGGTAAAAAAAAAAGAAATTAAATTCTGGCAATACTTGGTATAGGTGAAGATGTGTAACAGCAGGAACTCTCTGTGCTACTGGTAGGATTGTAAATTGGTACAGCCACTACAGAAACCAGTTTGGCATCATCTGGAAAAGCTGAAGATATGCATACCCTATGGCCCAGTGATTGCGTTCTTGCATGTATACCCAAGAGACTTTTACACGTGTCCCATGAGAAGTGTCCAAGAACGTTCACTGCAGCATTGTTCATAATGATAGTCAAAACCTAGAAAGAACCCCAGTGACCATCCACTGTAGAATGGCATAGTCATATCATAATCACTTTGCTAAAATCATACACTGGAATGCTAGTCAACAATGGGGAGAAAAGATCTACAGCTGCTATGAACAACATGGATGAGTCTCTCCAAGAAATATGATACAGGGTGAAAGAAGCAAGCCATAAAAGGAAGCATGCAGTATGATTCCATTTATGTAACTTCATATAAACTGTATCTTTCAGGGACGCCTACAAAAGTGGTAACGCTATAAAGAAAACCACTGAAATGATTATCACAAAGTCAGGATAATGACTATATCCACAGAGGAGGGTGTGGGTTGCGACTGGGAGGAATACAGTGGCTGTATTCTGGAAGGCTGGCAATGGTCTGTTTCTTGACCTTGGTCCTGGTTACATGGGTGTTTGCTTTTACAAATTATCGAAACCTGACAGATATGTTTTATGCACTCCTCTATATCTCAGACGTGAAAAACGCTTCCTCCAAAAAGCATAATGGAAAGAAAAATATGTGAAGTAGAAATTCTAATGAGGTTTGAATTGTTATGGATGAAAAACTTGATCTTCTATTCAAAAGATCAGCAAGTGTCCATTATCATTAAAAGAGAGGGAAAGCAGGGATTATTTAAACTATAGGTACCCCATAATCTAGTCATCACTCTAAACCTTTCTCTTGCTAGATATTCCACCCTATATTTATATCAATTCCCAAGTCACTGATGACAAATTGGAGGGTCATCATCATCATTAATAAGATCATTAGGCATCACTGGCCAAATCCATTACAGTGGGACTGGGCCACCACACTTAAATGCAAGCAGGCACACTGGGGCTATTGGACACGGTCATCTGTGCATTTTTCTCGGGAGAGTCCATTGCAGTGATTTAGGGTTTAACCTTATCACGTTTAAGTGGTACTCCTGTCCAGAGGCCTCCACGTGCTGGAAAATCTAGAGCAAACTGAGGAATGTCCTCATTGTGTTGTGATATTGGACATGAAATTTACCATGGCGTAACCAATGGTGGAAGGGCAAAGTGTTGGTTTAGGTTGTGCACTGTATAACCCAGGAGTGGGCTGGGTTTTCCCGATTTCGATATAAATTGTTTCATTCTCCAGGCTTTGCATTTCTAGGCTGAACAGTGCTAACCTGTTTTGGCGTCACCTCTTATTCATTCTAATCGCTGCGTCAGCAGGACGAAAAATTTAACGATGTGACAGATTTTCCTGAGGACCTCGTTCAAGACAGTTCTGGTTATGGAAGTTGTTTGTAGGGGGGAGGGGGGACATCATATTCAGTAGGAATTGCTAGCACTATGGTAGTTTAATGTTGACACAGAGTGTATTCGCTCGGAATTTTCCCTCATCTATCAATCCAGCCAGCCAGCCGGCAAACAATTTTTAACACATGCAAAGTACTAAGCACCACGCTTAGCACTGGGAGGGGCTGGAGCTGTGTTTATTTTGGTATATACAGTGAGGTACAGATTTAAGTTGCATTTAGCAGATAGATACCCAGGTTTTCCAGCACCATTTACCGAATGAACTGTCATTTCCCCATTACCTGGGAAGACCTCCTTGATTTCCTACTAATATTAACTGTGGAACTTATTTATGCATACCAGTCTCTGCCTCTGGGCTTTCTAGTCTGTCCCAGAGACCCAGTACCAGAATATTTAAATCACTGTGGCGTTAAACACGTTTTAATATCTGATAGGGCCAGTTTCTGCGCATTGCACTTTTTTTTTTCCCCTTTCAGGAACGTGTTCGGGCCCGCGGCAGGGGGCGGGGTCGCGCCTCCTCCGCGGCTCTGGTTCCAGCCGAGCCTCGCCGACGCGGAGATGGAAATCCCGAGGCTGCTCCCGGCTCGCGGGACGCGACAGGGCGGCGGCGCTGGCAGCCCCGCGGGCGGCGGCCGGGTCCACGGAGGCCTTGATCCGCGGGCTGGCCAGGCCCCCGCGCGCCGCCTCCTGCTGCTCCGTGGCCCCCAAGATGGCGGGCCCGGGCGGCGGCGCGAGGAGGCCCGCGCAGCCTCACGGGGCCCGGGCCCGAGCCCGTTGCCGCCGAGGCCCGATCACGCTGGCGGCGGCGGCGGCGGCGGCGACGGCGGCGGCGGCGGCGGCGACGACTTTTTCCTGGTGCTACTGGACCCGGTGGGTGGCGACGTGGAGACCGCGGGCGCCGGCCAGGCCTCAGGGCCTGTGTGGAGGGAGGAGGCCGAGCCGGGCCCACGGCTCCAGGGGGGTGAGAGCGGCGCGAACCCCGCGGGCCACCCTGCGCCGGGCTCCCGCTGCCTGTCCGCGGTCCCGGCCCCGGCCCCGGCCCCGATCCCCGCCCCAGGCCTGGGCCCCGCCGCGGCCTTCGCGGGCACCGTCACTATCCACAACCAAAACCTGCTGTTGCACTTCGAGAACGGCGTCCTCACCCTGGCCACGCCCCCGCCGCCAGCCTGGGAGCCTGGGGTCGCGCCTGCCCCGCAGCCCGGGGGTCTGATCGCCCCGCAGGCGGGGTTCCCGCATGGCGCGCAGCCCGGCGACTGCCCCGAGCTGCCTCCTGACCTTCTGCTGGCCGAGCCGGCCGAACCCGCGCCGCCCCCGCCGCCCGAGGAGGAGGCGGAGGGCCAGGCCGCTGCCGAGAGCCCCCGCGGGCCGCTGGGCCCGGGCCCGGGCGTAGTGCTGTACCTGTGTCCCGAGGCGCAGTGCGGACAAACCTTCGCCAAGAAGCACCAGCTGAAGGTGCACCTGCTGACGCACAGCAGCAACCAGGGCCAACGGCCCTTCAAGTGCCCCCTGGGCGGCTGCGGCTGGACCTTCACCACCTCGTACAAGCTCAAGAGGCATCTGCAATCACACGACAAACTGCGGCCCTTCGGGTGTCCGGCGGAGGGCTGTGGCAAGAGCTTCACCACCGTGTATAACCTCAAGGCACACATGAAGGGCCATGAGCAGGAGAACTCTTTCAAATGCGAAGTGTGCGAGGAGAGCTTCCCCACGCAGGCCAAGCTCAGCGCCCACCAGCGGAGCCACTTTGAGCCGGAGAGGCCCTACCAGTGCGCGTTTTCTGGCTGCAAGAAGACATTTATCACCGTGAGTGCTCTGTTTTCCCATAACCGCGCCCACTTCAGGGAGCAGGAACTCTTTTCCTGCTCCTTTCCTGGCTGCAGCAAACAGTACGACAAGGCTTGTCGGCTGAAAATTCACCTGCGGAGCCACACTGGTGAGAGACCTTTCCTTTGTGACTTTGACGGCTGTGGCTGGAACTTCACTAGCATGTCCAAACTGTTAAGGCACAAAAGGAAGCACGACGATGACCGGAGGTTCACGTGCCCTGTGGAAGGCTGTGGGAAATCTTTCACAAGGGCTGAGCATCTGAAAGGCCACAGCATAACCCACCTGGGAACAAAGCCCTTTGTGTGCCCCGTGGAAGGCTGCTGTGCCAGGTTCTCTGCTCGAAGTAGCCTCTACATTCACTCCAAGAAACACTTGCAAGATGTGGACACTTGGAAAAGCCGTTGCCCAGTCTCCACTTGCAATAAACTCTTCACCTCCAAGCACAGCATGAAGACCCACATGGCCAAAAGGCACAACCTCGGCCAGGATCTCTTAGCTCAGTTAGAAGCGGCAAATTCTCTTACGCCCAGCAGTGAACTTGCCAGCCAGGGACAGAGTGATCTCAGTGATGCAGAGCTAGTGTCTCTCTTCTCTGACGTGCCTGGCAGTAGTTCTGCTGCAGTGCTAGACACGGCATTGGTAAACTCTGGAATCTTGACTATTGATGTGGCTTCGGTGAGCTCAACTCTGGCAGGGAACCTTCCTGCTGCTAATAATAGTTCCTTAGGGCAGGCTCTGGACCCTCGGGGCTTGATGGCCACCGGTGACCTTCCTCAAAGTCTGGATACCTCTCTCTTTTTTGGAACGACAGCCGCCGGTTTTCAGCAGAGCCCCTTAGGTATGGATGATGTCTCAAGTCTAAGCGCGGGGCCATTGGGATCTCTGGGATCTTTGGCTATGAAAAACTCAAGTCAAGAGCCCCAAGCTTTGACCCCCAGCAGTAAGCTAACAGTAGACTCAGATGCTCTGACTCCTTCAAGCACCCTTTGTGAAAACAGTGTCTCAGATCTACTGACACCAACCAAAGCAGAATGGAACATACATCCTGACTCTGACTTCTTTGGACAGGAGGAAGAAACCCAGTTTGGATTCTCCAATCCAGCAGGAGCCCATGGTTCTCAGAAAGAAACAGATCTTACCACAGTGACTGGCAGCTCATTTTTGGTATGAACTACATTCATTCCTCGTCATATGGCTTACTTTTACTAATTACACTCAATTTTAAGGGTATTCTGGACTAAATGTTTAAATGCAGTCGTTTCTTGTAGGTTTGGAAAAAAACAGAGCCCTGGGCTACAAGTTTGGAGATTTAAATTCTGATTCTGAGTCTAGAACTGACAAGTTGTGTGACCCCGAGCAAGTCACTTCACCTATCTGAGCCTTAATTTCCTTATTTATAAAATGAGGTGGTTTGAGTAGATCGTTTCTAAGGTATTTTCAGCTTTGTGATTCCTTGATAATATGCTTCTTTCCTTGAAAAAATTTAGGACATTTTTCAGTGATGGTGTTGCATGTGCTTTTTTTCCCCAAACATGCATAAAATACATATATTGAACATCTATTTGCTTGGCACCCAACTTCAACTATTATCAACTCACAACAGTCTTGTTTATCTGATCTCCACTCTCACCCTCTTCCAGTATTATTTTGGAATAAATTCTAGACATCACATTATTTCAACCATAAATATTCAATATATGGTTCTATAAAGAATGGGCTTAACAATAATTCCTTAATAAATATCCAGTTAGGGTTCCAACTTCCAATTGTCTCATCAATGCTACTACTTGTTTTAATATTCTGAGTAATTAGAATCCCAGTAAGTCTCTTAAGTCTGTAATCTGTTTCCCCTTTGTGTCTTTCTTTCCTTGCAATTTTATTTGTTGAAGAAATAAGGTTGTTTCACATGTAGCATTTGCCATAATCTTATGTTTTGGTGATTATATCCCTTTGGTGTTAATTTTCTCTAACATGTCTTTCAGTAATTTGGTCATTGGATCTAGAGACTTGATCAGATTGGAAATGTGATTTTTGGGGCAGGAATGTTTCATAGGTCCTCCTGTGTTTTTTATAAGCTGGCACATAATGTCTAGTTTTCTCTCTCTTTGGGGTATTTGCAACTGCTGTTGATCAGTGCATTAATTCATGATTATCTGTCCTTTGGATATCATGAATTGTTCTTGTAGAGTTACTGTTAGCAGAGGAAGAAATGCTGTTTAAGGCATTTATAAAAGTTTAACAGATATATTATTCAATGCCAAAATATTTTCTTAAATAATGACAGAACTAACAAGAAAAAAGATATCAAAAATATATGTTGGCTATCTCATTGTTTATCTTCCTGACCTCTTCTGATGGTTGGAGGCTTTGTTGTAGAAATTACCAGCCAGGACTTTAACATGAAACAGACCCAGGGTCAAATTTGTGTTGGATAAGTGGCCTTGAATAAATGTCTCACTAAGCATCAGTTTCTTAGCTGTCAAATGGTCATAGCAATGCACACACATAGCTAACACACCTTAGAGTTTTCTTCTTTTCTAGTTTTTAATATGTAAGAAACGATATTGTGTACTTTGGCATATTTTATTGAATTTATATAATCTTTTTTACCCTCTCAGTCCTTCCTGCTGTAAGGGAGAACTTGGAATAATTTAATCCTATTCAGACAGTAATGGTTGTATGGTTCAGGTGAAACAGTATAGGGAACCTCTTTATTCCTTCCACTAATTTTCCCCCAGGAATTTCTGTGGAGAAATGCTAGGAGTGGAGACATTGCTCACAGGTATCTCTGCATCCCTCTCCATTAGATCAGTTTGTCACCATCTTTGTTCTGCTTTCAAAGTCAGACTTCACTGTGACTGTGGAGTCTGCTGTTGCATGAAACTCATAATGGAGCAGAGAAGGTTTCCTCTTCTCTCTGGTCTGGCAAGCTCATTGTTTCCACTTTCCCAAAGTTAGAAGGAAGGATTGAATCTGAATATTGTGTAAACTGTGTGTCTTATATGAGTATCATTTTGAATTTTTGAAACATCTTCACAACCGGTATCTTATTTCTTGTTCAGATCAGCCCTGTGTGGTAGTTTTGGCAAAGCCCATGCTATCACTTATATGACAGTTTAACCAACTCATATTCCAAATGGGCTTTGGCTAGTGACAGTTCTATATATAGCTTAAAATAAAGAAGAAAAATTATTTTCACCTCTCCTTTCCCATTCGTCCAACTTTCATAATTCATTCCTGTCATAACTAGCTGCTCTTTTACATTTAATCGGTTTTTGTTACTTTCTGCTTTCTTTCTTCCCATTCTCCCTTGCATGTGCATTCCAGTCCTTGCCATGCCTTTCTTATTTTTTAATGGATTTATCTGCCCCACCACTATTTCTCAGACCTTCTCCTCATAGCCCATTTTCTTCCAATGATGACATTTGTTGCGTGTAGAATACAGTTCTATGTGTGCTGTAAGAAGTTATTTTATGAGCTTAGATAATACTGTGTTCATATATGACTCAAATGATAAAAGAGATTATTTTCTATACTGTTAAGATGAGAAGTGGATTTCTGTTTCATTATTTCCATTTTGTAAAAGTTTTTGCCAAGGAGTTCTGCTAACTAATACTCGTTATTTGCTCTAGTGTACTAGTCCAGTAGTGTTTGCATGTGAATGTCTATAGATGACAGTTATTGTAGCAATTTGGCAGTGCACTAAAAGTTTGCCACTTTGAAATGTTTCTGTACTGTTTGTGTTTGTGGGTATATACACACACACATATTTTTTAAAGTGGTTGTATTCATGTAGTGAAAAACAAAAAGTAGTATAATTTTGTAAATCAGAGAAATGCTCAGACTTTCATTATGTCTACTTATTCAATTGTTTTCTTTCTTTGCTTTGGAAATATTTGTATTCATAAAGCACATTTCAAAAATATTGTCATTCATTAAGGCCTCTTAAATAGACCACTATTTTAAGTGTCTGGCAGATACATGTCTCGAGGATTGAATTGAACACACAAGTAGCAAACATCAAATAAATTATTTAAATATGAAAAGAATTTAATACTGTGACTTCATTTTTTCAATCCCTTAAACCGACTTCCTCCCAATAAAAAATCATAAAATATATTTTTTTCTACTTATTGTTGGAATGTTCAAAGGACAAATGTTGCTTTTCTCAAAAATAAAAGCTTTTATTTGTCCACGGGCTCAATTTCATTGAACAAATCTGTTCAAATAATTTATCTTTCAATACCATTTTCTAGAAAAGTGGTGAACCCCTTTATACTTTCAAGGTAAGAAGTTTAATTTGTGTTGGTGGTGGCATAAAGTTGCCATCACTCCTTTTAAATAATAGTATGTGTTTTAACTTAATCATGTTTCCTTTCTGCTTCCCCTCAGTCAGCGTCTGTTTCTAGGGACTATGCTGATCATAAATTAATAATGGAGTTTTACCAATTAATATAATTGATATAACTCAAGGCTTGAGTAGCAGGGGTAAAAGGTGGATAGATTATAAAGTTTATTTGTCTCTGTGACCTAAACTTTTTATGTTCTTATCCAGGAAACATATGAGAAAGCAATTTGTTACCTGGAGTTTCCACTGTATTTATTTGAAATTAACAAATATTTATTAAGCATCATTGTGAAAAATATAACATTGAGGGTTCTATGAGAAGAGTAATATGCAACTCTGACCTTTAAGGAGATTACAATTGATGGGAAGAGATAGAAAAACATATATTGAACAATTGGAGAACAAAAACGGAAAAAGCTTAATTTGGTACCAAAATGACTGAGAAGCGAAAAAAAACAGGATAATTAAGAGTTTATTCTGGACACTGTTGAAAGCCAGTGAATATGTTTTAACAGAGGAGTCAGATCATGAAACTGTCATCTTATAAAGGTTAATGTAATGGAAGTGTACAATGTGGATTAGATGGGAGAGAACGGAATAGGAAGATTAGTGAGAAAGCTTTTGTAGTAATTCACGTGTGATGTAATGAAGCATGAAGCCTGGACTAGAATTGTGTTAGTGGGAAAGAAAAAGAAGGATCAGATATTGAAGATGTTTTCAAATTCAGGAAGGAGTATTACTTAGTGCCTCATTAGGGAGATAGATAGATATCATCATAGAGAGACAGAGAGAAATCAGGAATGATAATTAGATTTCCTTGGGGAAAATATTACAATAATATTTTTACTAACAAAATGAGAGAAATAAGGAGAAGTGCTTTTCAGAAATGATTGTGTAAAGATGGTGTTTAGTTAAATGATAATTGATAAATCATGGTTATTCCTGCATAAGCTATCCATATTTTGGTTCATCCACTTTCTAGATGACAACAGGGGGCCACTACCTTTTTCATGGTTCCCTCAGGCATGCTCAGAACTACCTATAGTTATGATCCTTTTACTTCTCTTTGAATTACCAGAGGCCGCCTCATCTTGTCTTGAATGATCTAGATCTGCACTGACCAGTACAGTAACTACTAGTCATATGTGGCTGTTGAGCACTTGAAAGGTGGCTAGTATTACTGAGAGACTGAATTTTTAATTAATTTACATTTAAATTTAAAAACTGAAACAATTCAAAATGTTTTTCTGTTAAACATCACTTTATTGTTTTAGTAGGATTAAATTTCACATTAACCATTGAAAACGTAGCATCCAAATTGAGATGTCCTGTAAATAAGACATTTTGAAAGCTTAGTACAAAAATTTAAAATATTTCATTAGTATTTTATATAGATTACACATTGAATAATATTTGAATATTTTTTCAGCCTATTGAGGTATAATTGACAAAATTGTAAGATATTTAAAATGTACATTGCAGTCATTTGGTATATAATTGTGAAAGGATTACCACCATCTAGATAATTAACGCATCCATCACCTCACATATTTATCCTTTTTTGTGAGAACGTTTTCTATTAAATATATTTGCTTACAGAAAATATTAAAATTAATTTTATGTTTCTTTTTACTTTTTTAATGTGGCTAGAAAAAATTTAAAATTACACATATTATCACAATTAAAAGTTCTTAAAAATTACACATATTGCTCTTGTTATATTTCTATTTGACAACACCAATGTGGATGTTACATTACCTCTCTCCAGACTACTCTTTGTCAAAATGAGCTATGTAGTCTCTGTTGTCCATTGAGTGTCTTTTCCACTACAGCTTTTAAGACTCACTAGCTATTCTGTTTTATGTTGAGGGTGAAATAATCTATGTATTATCACAGGACTTCACTATAGTTTGGTGAAGTTTTATCATGAATTTAAGCAGTTCTTCATGAAAACTTTATTGGAGTGAGTTTTACCTGCGTTCATCTCAGTTGGAGCAGGCAGGAATAAGAATGTCAAATCCAATATCCCTTGATCTCTGTGAGATTGGCTTGGGGCTCCTTAGTGAGAATCACTTCTGTCACTAGAGAAAATCATGAGACAAGTGATATCATGAAACTTAATCATGAGAATCCCTACCAATAGTCTCTCCATTTCATAATTCCCCTGTGCACTAAAAGAACCCTAGAAGGAGTGGAAGAAAAAGAAAGACTGAAAAATTAAAGAAGGAGCATGAATAACGCTCCAAGAATTACACTGTATTTGATGGTAAAATTTGATAGAAGTCCTACACTGCCAGCTAGAATAGTTGTTCATTTCTGTTAATTGCTGACCTTTAAAGACATACAAACCCTTTTATTATTTTTTGGTGAGGGAGATTGGCCCTTAGCTAACATCTGTTGCCAATCTTCCTCTTTTTGCTTGAGGAAGATTGTCACTGACCTAACATGTGTGCCAATCCTCCTCCACTTTGTATGTAGGATGCCTACACAGCATGGCTTGATGAGCTGTGTGGAGGTCTGTGCCCAGGATTCGAACTCGCAAACCCCAGGCCTCCAAAGTGGAGCATGAGAACTTAACCACTATGCTCTGGGCCAGCCCCACGAAACCCTTTTAACTGTCAGTTTTTCTAAAGAAAACATCATAACTCAGTATTTTAAAAGGAAGCATATGGAGATTTCTAAAAGCACCAGCAATCTCTGCATCCTTTAATACCATCCATTATACTGATTTACGAAGTTACTAATCAGTAGTTATGTATTGAGTACCTAATATGTGGAGCACTATGAAGTATTATGCATAAGTATAACATTAATTCATTAATAAAAATTTTACCTCTTATGTGACAAGTATTTTTCTTATGTTCAATCACGTTATCTAGATGGAAAACTATTAAAACCAATGTATCACAGAATTCTAAGAGGTACTTTATAGATTTTACCAGAATAAGAGGTACCATTTTCTGTGAATGGACATAAATTTTTATGAGGGTAAAACGGTATATAGAATATCATCATATATTTATTTCATTAGAAACTAAAATTTCATTTAAGGTATAAACAAAACAAAATTGTTCTAAAATTTTGACAGGTGTCTTAGAAGTAGATTTGATAAACTATAGCAAAAATGTTGAAAATCCATTATGAAATGGACTTTGATTTATTTCTAGATTATAATCTTTGACTTGAGATGTGCTGAAAGTGATCCTATAGATTTTATACTTTCCTCTCTCATTTTATGAATGAGAAAAAGTATTCAAGCCTACACTTTTGTATGTGCAATTGTATTTCTTATGAGACATGATCACAAAATTTAATTTTCTGGAATAATATGGACATTATTTTGAAGGTAACTTCATCATATAGACACACTAGTTGGAAGGAAGGAAATAGTAATTAATTTCATGTAACATTTGAGGCTGAGAATTAGATTTTAACCTGAAGGAACCTAAAAGTTTGCCAATGCTCTGGGGTGGGGGTGGGGAGTGTCCAGGTAAACAAGCAAGTGTTTTTATTTCTGGGTAAAAGAACAGTAGTTTAACACTTTCAGTCTGTTCTAGGATAGCAAAATAAAACTTTATTTAATGATAAGCAGTTTTAAGTGTCCAAGATGTAGAAAATCATAAAAGGTAACAAACACAATTTGAAATCTTAGACATTCTCCTTGTAGGATAATTGGAAAAGAGTGCCATTTATTTTAAGCAGGACTAACCTCCCTCTTCTGTTTACAATATAGAGTGGGAAGATAACTTCAGGGTGAGATTTAGCTCACATGACAGAAGGAAACTGGCCACATGTCTGCTTGGAAATTAGCCAGAATAGACAACCCATTGGAAATTCCAGCAAATGGAGCAGCAGCAGTTTATCCCACGCTAGTTCCTACTTTAGTGATGCCACAATGAGTCCTTTCCTGTCAAAAGTGCCTGCATCAGCTAGTTAACATTTACTAGAGTCAAACCTTAGCATTTGCTATTTCTAACAAGATTTAGCATTTTTCTGTTAAATTCACATATGTTGTAGCTTTCTGGTGCTAATTATTAATTATTTTATTATAATTTTAACAATAATTCAATCAGATTCATGCTTTGTGATAATAGTAAAAAAGCAAATGTCAATATTTAATATCTCTATTTAAAAATTGTTTTGACTAGTTCAATTTTTTTTTTTATGTGGGGCGTAGCTTCCCACATTTATTTGAGTATGTCTCAATCATCTCTGTATGTTGGAAGCAATAAAACTTAGAGCTCTGTTAAGATAAATATTTAGAATGATAGCCTTAGAATGTTGGCTACTTTGAAAATGGAGAAAGTTAGGCAGGCTTCTCCCCATTTATAGATCAGTGATAGAGTTCTTGGAAAAAGTTGAGGAGTAAGATAGTAAGTAAATTCTGTAGCTAAGATCAATTTCATAGGAAAAAAAAAAAAAGCTATTTGACCCTGTCATTTTAAATTATCCATTTATGTTTATCAAGTTTGCCGCTGAATATAATCTTCCATATTGTATGAACAATACAGTTTTTACAATTCCATCTAAAACATTAGGTCATCAATTGGGACCTTAAAAAATTGACTAACTGGTATTATATTTTACTTTTACAAAGGGCACTTTATAGAATTTAAACTTTGAAATCCAAATACAAAATATACATAGTCCTTAAATATAATATTTAAAATGTTATTTAGAAGGCTATTCTGACTATGATTCAT